GTTTGCAATACACATGGCACAGTCTTAAGCAAATGAGATCATTTTCAGATTTCGTTTTTTTTCAATCTTTCTACTTTTATAATAATAGGAAGTTACTCCTTGGATTAGTAAGCGATTTGCCGCACACTACGTGCCACCCTGGGGTCTCGTGCTCCAGTGAGACGCTGGCTCCCAGACCCACTTCCTGGTGCAAGCTGACCAAATTGTTCAAGTGATGACTATTTACAAATCGTAGCAGGTTGTTTTCTGCTAAGAGAAGCAGAAGTCCAGTGCGATGTCTAGACTATCACTGTACTGTGTGTGAGTGGTATATACAATGGGAAGGTATTAAGCTGTGGGTGTTTTGCTGTCTGTTTCACAAGCATGAAAACCTGTATATCAGTAATCAGGGCCATTTGTGATGTTACGTTATGGAATTTGTGAGCTTCTGTGGGTGTAAGAGCACCATGAAGGATGGTGCGTAGTCCCCTGGCACCCATCGTCATACCTATCTATATCCTACTCAACTGTGGTTCGGAACTGCGCATTCAATAGTAGTATATATTGTGCCTGTCTTCAAAAAACATTCTTTTTCCTTTTTTATACTCATTCCCCCAGGTACGGGGTAGGACAGTATGACATTGCACAACCTTGACAGTCGGACAACACAGGGAACATGGTTTCCAGTAATGCTGGGCCCACTAGTCAAAACCTGTTTGCCTATTCTCTGTGAGAGCGGTGGCTGCTATTCCCCAGTGTTCTTAAGCCCTTTCTGACGCAGTCCAGAGGGGGGGGCGATCGACACAGTCCTCCCCGTCCTGCACCACCGCTGGGAAAGCCCTCACCTAAGACACGCAGGACCACCCCAACTCCGTGGAGCTGTGACTGACCGCGTGGAATCGGCAATGTACAAATGGACGAGTAGCTTGAGACGTGTTAATCATTTGCCTTACAATGTGTACCAGATGGTTTTAAGTACTAACAAAAGGGAATAAAAATACCTCACGCCACAATCCAGCATATTGAAGTTTTAAGGCAAAACAACCCACCTTGTCTCTTGGCTTTATTTGCATCTAATTCGGGTGGGTTGGTGTCTCTGCCGGCAAGGGCAGAGTTGGCTGGTCACTGCAGGTGAATGTGAAAAAGAAAACCAGACTCGATCACTCTTGAAGACGGCGTTTTGAAAAACTTCCTATTTTATAGTCTCTGCACTCGGAGACGGGGCATCGCTAAGGAGACTGATCCCGGTGGCTCTATAAGACAAGGACTAAAACCCAATGGAGGAGGGTGAAGCAGACAGGGAGGGGCCCTAGAGATGAGTTCCCTGAGGCTTCTCCCACATACGCCCCAGGGGCAAGACCAGCACCCTGGGAGGCTGAAGCTCAGGTGCTCTGAGCAGCCACGATGGCAGAGGCAGGAACAGGAAAACTCCCACCTCAGTCTTTCTGAAGGATTCCAACCCATTTGCTGGAAACGGTTCAGATCTGAGTAGCACCTCTGTGCTCCCTGCTACCCTGTGACTTCAAAGAAAACCTAAGTCTGGTGTGACTCAGTGGTTGAGCGTAGACGTATGAACCAGGTGGTCACTGTTCGATTCCCGGTCAGGGGACATGCCTGGGTTGCAGGCTCGATCCCCAGGGGGCGTGCAGGAGGCAGCTGATCAGTGATTCTCTCATCACTGATGTTTCTCTCCCTTCCCCTTCTCTAAAATCAGTAAAAATTAAGAAAACTAAGTCCAAATCATGAGGCAATTCACTGCCCCAAGCTGCCGGGAACAGTTTCAGAGCCACCTGTCTTGGTCCATCCCGGCTACTATCACAGAAATGCCAGACTGAGGGGCCTTGTAAAGGACAGAGATGTCTCTTACAGTCCTGAAGGCTGTGAAGTCCAAGATGGAGGTGCCGGCAGACTCAGTGTCTGCTGAGAGCCTTCCTGGTCACAGCCAGCATCGATGCGTCCTCACATGGTGGAGGGCGAGGGATTTCTGCGTGGACACTCATCGCATCAGGAAGGCTCTGCCCTCATGACCTAATCAGTCCCTCCTAGTGCCATCCCCTGGGCATTAGGATTTCAACATAAATGTGGGGGAGGGGGGTAAGTTCACTCTATTCCCTCTACACCAGTGGTTCTCAACCTGGGGGTCGAACGACCCTTTCACAGGGGTCGCCTAAGACCATCGAAAAACACATATATAATTATATATTTTTGTGATTAATCACTATGCTTTAACGATGTTCAATTTGTAATAATGAAATTGGGGGTCACCATAACATGAGGAACTGCATTAAAGGGTCGCAGCATTAGGAAGGTTGAGAACCACTGCTCTACACATAAGACACGAACTTAAAAAATCACTGTTTTCTGTGAACTTTATTGACCCTTGCGTGATACAGTACCTGTGCTTAAGAACACACCTTGCAGCACTCCCCATTTATTGCCATATTTTATAGCAGAAATACAGAAGCCATTTTTTTTTAAGGAAGAACATATAAAAACGCTTATAAACAGACCATATGTTTTGCCAAAAGAAAGGTACAAATGCTACGTGAAGAATTAGACACTCCACAAGACCAACTCGAGAACAAAACTGTCAGATTCGGAAGGTGCGTGGCACTTGGTTACATCAAGATGGCCCCCTGCCTCGGTTTCCAAAAGGTGGTAGCTGTGCTTGTGTGTGAAACCGTCTCCCCCGCTGGGAGCGCCACCACCATCTGCAGTCTCTGGATAAGCTCTTAGCTGCTGGGGTTTGGCATCGAGAGACTTCCGAGTGTTAGTAAATCCATCTTGAACGCTGAGCTCCCAGGTCCAGCTGGCTACACACCAACAGCAGTCTCTATGGTCGGAGGCAGGTCCCTGGTAGCTCTGGAACCTGATCTGTCTTTAATAAAGGACTTGAAGTGGACACCCAAATGCTAGCCTCCTTAAAAACACAAGCTGAGTTTGTGTGTCTACAGAAAGTAACAGATCAGAAGAGATTGTATAAGGAGGTGATCCATTTTTAACATTCAGTTAAACCACATCTTTCCCAGGAAGCTACTTCCAACAGAAGGTACTTCCAACAAACTAAGAGTCGTTTTCTACTTTATCTGGGAGACAGCATTGTGTATCATAATCTAGTGATTGCAGAATATCTACTAACCATTACTCGTATTAAGATTGGCTTCAGCATCGTCTTGATATGCCACTGTCCACTGGCAAATTTTAGGAACTTTAAATCAGCTGCTGTCTAGGTTGTCCGTCTTAAAATCAGACAAGCACTTAGGGGGAACACTGCTCATTCTTTGAGTAATTCTCCTGTAATGAGCAAAACTGATCTTTGGCTTAGGCCTCACAAAGGGAAATCAAACTCCCGCATACAGAATACTCTTGGAAACACAAAAGAAAACACAATTTATTGTTCAAGTTAACATCCTTGCTGCAGAATAGCATATACAATAAGTATTAGCAATTCAGTTCTGTGTCCCCTAACCAAAGTGTATCCTTTATAGAAATTTCACCCAAATCTACTTCTAATTTAAAAAACAAAATTTAATTTTAGGATTTAAAACTAGACTCCACCACCAAACCTAAACAATAACCACCCACTCCAACGTCTCTCACTCGGGGCTCCGTCCTCTCGTTAACTTCCAGGCCACTAGGCCGACAGGTTCCTGACCTTCCATCCCAAAGCTTACCCAGTAACTCCCTTGCCTCCGAAAGTCCTATCGTCCCCTCAAGAACTGCGACACCAACAAGAGGTGACAATGATTCATATCAAAAATATAAAAGTGCCATGCATACTTCAATCAGACAGTCGAATTGCTGCAAGAACTCTATTCCCATACCACAAACCCAGAGACTGGTGCCCCATTGGCAAGCAAGACCCTGTCACAAGCCAAGAAAAGTAGACACCTGGCTGCCAAGCTAGCGGACACAGGCTCCTGTATGAGAACAAAATAACCCTTAACTGAGGTCCCTGGGAAGAGAGAGCACAATTTTACAAATCAGCAGAATTCAACCCTATCTTCTCAATGACTAATTTTTAAAGTTGCATAGGGAACTGACCTGAACATCCAGCATTTTGAATTTGGGCACTTCTTCCTAGAGCATTCTAAAATGCCTCATCTCACCACACAACCACACACACACAGCAGGCGTCCTGCCCTCTCGAGTCACGTTTCAGAGAGAGTATGCAAGGAAAGTGTTATAAAATTTATTCATGTGAGCATCCAGACATTTTAGGTGGGAAAGACGATATGCAGCTTTCACTACAAGCTGCAACAAAATCATATGGGAGAACGGACAGCTGGTGCGGCGCTGGCAGTGGAACGATTCCAAACGAATGTGAGACGAGAGCACTTCATTGGGGAGAAACTTAAAATAATAATTTAAAGCTTCATGACACAAGATATGTTCCAATTTAAAACACTAAGAAATAGTACCATCAATGAAAAAGGAAATCAACTTCTAAGTGTACCAAAAGGGTTGTAGGGCAAACGAGGAAAATTTGCATTTGTTGAGGTACAAATAGGAGTGTTCCTTAAGAGGGGCATTAATTATTATTAATGGCAAACCCTGCAAATACAAAATAAAACCCAAATCACTGGTCACATAATTCAAAATTTACATGTAATAAAGGCAAGGCAATAGACTCAAGTTATGGCCTGTCAAATATTTACTCCACTGACATTATCTACAGAAGCACTTGGCCAATTTGTACACAGTGATTCCTTATGCACGCCAAAAGGGGTTTCCGTAAAAATGACACTATATACAAATCTGTACACTGAGCCACCAGAGCGATTCTCCGTCTCCCGGGGAGGGAGCACAACTTAAAGCAGGATACCTGAGGTTTCATTTCTTCAGTTGCCTTATCATAATCCCAAATATACATTTCAGGGTGTGTGTTTGTTTTTAAAGACACTTTCCTTGATATGTGCACTATGGTAAAAATTAAAAACAAGAATAATAAAATAAAATGATCGCTGGAAGGAGCTGACCCTCCCCACCCATCTAGACTCATCCGGCCAAGGCCAGCGAGAAAGGACGCTGAGGCCTGTGTGGGCAGCCTCGGTTGGGCCAGCCCTCGGTGCAGCTCTTCAGCGGAGTCAGCAAAGGCTCTTGTTGACTGTTTAAAAGGAGCAGGATGAAGAAGAAAGAAAAAACAAAACCCCAAATGCCAAAGGAAGTTCAGTGGGACGAAGTTCCTCCACCACTTAGCGAGTATCTAGGAAAAAACAGAGAGAGAAATAGAAATAAACAAATGTCATTTCTCAAAATTATAAAATTAATTTGCAGAAATTCAAACAATAACCAAAGTCCTATTAATTTTCATACACTGCCAAGTCACCAAAATATGGAGCAACTATCAATGGATTATTATATAAAGAATTCATAAAAATGAACAAAATCATGATTCCAACAACAAATTTTCTGAGAAGTTAAATTCAGCCACAAAAGAACTAAAAGTACGTAATAAAAAGTAAGAAAGCGGTTCAGCCTCCCAGGAGAGAAAACCGTATAACTAAAACAGTAAATGATACACCTTTACTTATAATCAGATTGAAAAATCAGTATTAACCAAAGACAGAGTAAGAGTCCAGGAATGCACAAACATGGCTGGTTGGAGGACCAGTGCAAAGAAACACTTTTGGCCACAGAAAAACTGAGGCTTGCTCAGGCACCCTCCTTCCTGAAATGGTCTCTTGGGTTTTCTGTAATTACAGTAATTAGGAAGCACTCTGAGGTCCAACAACAGAGAAATGGTTATGTAAATAAAGTGCCTGAATAAAATAACACATTAGAAATTGTAATATTTAAGCAATGAAATCTATACACAAGTCAATAAGTGTGCACAAAATTGTAGTTTTACAATCTGTTTATCCCAAACACATACAAAAGAATGCCCAAAAAAGTATGTGTGCACTATACTTTTCAGAAATGTAAAGAATTAGTAAGTTCACGACATTTACAATAATGGAAGGCAATGCACCAAAAATGATGATAATGGGCTAGAATAGTGGGGTCATGTATACTTTCTTCTATTTTCCAATAATCCCACAGTATTGTCTTGCTTTGGAATATAAAAAAGGGAGCGGTGCGGGTGCGAGGTTCCCTCATGGCCAGGATTCCCTCAGACACCTCAAAACGGACCCAGCCCCAGCAGATGCCTGAGGACACGTTTAACGGGACTTACGTAAGTATTCCAACCTAGAGCTCCTCTTCCCAGGCAGTTACAATACTCAGCACTCTGCCAGAGAACAAGTGCTCCCACAAGATCCTCCTGAAAGGCATGCTTTAGCCACAGATCCTAAGGCTCACATTTCAAGAAACATAAATGCCGGAGTCCTGGGAGGAGGAGATCCACACAGAGGATCCACATGTTAATTCAACCAAGACCTACAGGAACCTTCGAAATGCTTTAGAAAAGGCGGTTCTCGTTTTTGAGGTGACCCACTGCCCAATGCATCTGGGAATAAAATAAGCATGAGGCATGAGCAAGGGCCTCTGTGTCTGGTGGCATCTGGGTGAGGGACACACAGGAAGAACTTGGGGGTCCCAGGAGGAGTAAGTGGACAGGAGTAAGTGGACAGTACCAGCCAAGGCCTGGGGGGAGCAAATAAGGACCCCAGAAGCTGAGGAGGAGACAGGATTCGCACACCAAGAAGAAAAGAGACACAAGCAAGACCCATCTGGGGAAGAAAAAGAGTGCCGACTCAGCATGTCTAAGGCATCACTGGAAAGTAAAAGTTCAAGCACAATGTGGACAGTGGGCAATTATATCTGCATTTTACATGGCTGCTGAGCACCTGAAAGGTGGCGGGTTCACATTTGGATGTGTGTGCAATGTAAAACACACACTGGACTGCAAAGACTTAGTACTGAAACGAATGTGAAATGCCTCACTGATGAAGCTAATACTGATTACATGTTAAAATGAGATTTTGGATGCAATGGGTTAAAAAACATAAAACTAATTTCACTTGCTCCTTTTTTTACTTTTTTTGAATCCTCACCTGAGGATATGTTTTTTTAATTGATTTTAGAGAGAGGAAGGGGGAGAGGGAGAGGAACATTGATCAGTTGCCTCCCATATGAACCCCGACCAGGGACTGAACCAGCAATCTGGGTATGCACATGGACGGGAATCAAACCCGCAACCTTTCGCTGTACATGAGGACAACTCCAGCCAACTGAGCCACCTGGCCAGGACTTTACAATTGTTTTATTTTTATTTTTTCACTTTTTTTAAATGTGGCTACTAGAAAATTTTAAATTCTGTATAGCTCACATTATCTTTCTATTAGACAGCACTGGTACAGATCAACTCATTTCAGCAACTAAAGAAAGTGAAACAGAGGGACAGACCAATTAAACACACAGGCCACCACCTGAGCCCTGTAGCTGCAGGGAATCAAATTACGTATATAAATTACTAACAATTTCAAGCAATTTGGGACAATGTGGAAAATATCAGTCCTAAAAAGTGACACTACAAAAGCAAAAAACAAAACCCAAAACATGATAATGCCACTGGTTTCTGGGTTAGTTCTATCTGTTTGAGATTTAAAGGTGTTTTTTAATCAGAAGTAAACGTCACTAAAATGAGCTGGGAAGTGATACCAAGTTTCTTTGAGAAATTAAGAAAAACGGATCATTATTAAGTAACTAGAGGCCCAGCGCACGAAATTCGTGTACTGGTAGGGTCCCTAGCAGCTGCTGGCCAGGCATTCCCATCCTTCCCCCGGCTGGCCCTGCCCCCTGGTCAAACTCCCAGATGAATTCTTGTCGAGGGGACAATTTGCATACTATGCTTTTATTATACAGGATAGGAGAAAAGCTTATGGGATGCTAAGACAAGACATTCGATGAATCTTAGAACAAAGCTATGTTAGATATTAACTGCCTACACACAGTGGATAGATACCCACAGACATGGTAACAACAGTGCTTGTGTGAGGATAAAGTGACCTCTTTATTCTGTTTTCCTTTATTTCTGTAATTCATTAGTATCAAAAGGGTCAGGGCAGAGATAACAATTCTGCCTATTGCCTCAAAATTGAAGGTGGCCAAGTAAAGTCTTAATTCTCTAGCCTAAACTTTAGAGCAAGTTAGAAGGTTCGGATGTCTCTGACAAAAGAACCTGAGAGCTAGGAGAATACACCTGCAGGGTCAGAATGAAGGTTTTCTCTGGATGCCCCTTTAGAGGACTCTTCACAGGACATCAGGTGGCCCTTCCATCACGTCTAAGAAGTGGCCAAGGGGACCCACATACCCCAAACTTCTTCACATACTGTCAAGACGACCCCTCAGAAGAGACCTGTAAGGATCCTATTGGTCACCAGGGCCCTACCATCATTTGGAAGGGACTCAGTAGCCTGGACAAGTCACCTGGAAGGTGGATGTCAAAGCAGTGACATGACTCGTGCTCAGGAGTGTTGGAAGGTTTGGGGAGTGGAGTAGAGATGGAGCCATACCTCCGTTCTCTCTAAACACCCACAAATGACTGTACTTATGCTGGGGGTTGGGGCAGTCAAAGTGGCCTCCTCCACAGGAGACTCCTAAAACAAGTCCAAGAGAGTGGGTAGGGAGACCCAGATCACTACTCCTCACGGCAATCAGGGCCACCCGTGGGCGCAGGGAGCATCCTGCAGGTCGGTCAGTGCACACAGGTCAGGACAAGAGGCCAAGTCGAGAACCAGCACAGCCACCCATGGAGAATCACACACTGCATCCATTCTCACTGGACTCGCCAAGCCCAAACTTCTGGAATTTTTGGACATTTAACTTTAAAACCAAATGGAGAATTACCAACATATGGCTAAGGACTGTATAACTAGGCTGCATCATTAGAGCAGACAGATATTATGTGCCACAAAGTCCTGTGGTCCTTCCGAGTCGTTTCCAGATTTGTATCCTTCGTGCACATGATTTTCAGAACTGAGAACAAGAAGGTAACAGAAGAGACTAGGAACAAAGCGCCCAGCTGACAAAAGGAGGGAAGCAGAGAAGTCCATTTGAAGGGGTCCCACCCCCGGCCTATGGAAGCCACAGGGCAAGCGTGGTGCACCCTCCACCGGGCTCTCCTCCCGGGAGGCAGGGACCTCACTGCAGGCCTGGCGGCAGTTACCTCTGGAGCCGCTGCACGAGCTGGGCCACCATGGTGTCCGAGATTCCAGGGCACGCCTCTTCTGCCAGGTAGATGGCCCCTCGCAGTTCTTCTATGGACCCCATGTTACCACCACATGCTTGGCTCTTCTCCTTCAACTTAAAAGACACAAACGTCAACAGCATGACACACACGAGCACAGGAGCCAATGAGCATCTGTTCTAGAGAGTAACACAACGTGTGGACCACAATGGCTCCAGCCAGAGGAGTCCTGGCAGGGACCCAGCGCAGCCACTGGTTCACTTCCCATTCCTCTCAATGAACAGTGTTTGGATGCTGAGAACACTGTATAGAAAGGTCATTAGTCAGACTTGAACCCCTACCTGCACTAGAGTGAACAGAGACGACTGGTGTCCTGTGCACCTTTTCAAATCTGGTGACAGGCTGTCCCACTTTCTTTTTCCATTTCAACCCAACTTATACCAGAAAAGTAATTTCAAAATTACTCAGTGCTAGTTTCCACACGGGCTATCTAATCTAAAGCTTACTAAGGTTGATAGGTTGGTTCTTAGATGCTGACAAGCTGTCTTTTTGGTCCTCTTTTCTCAAAATATTCTAGTTTGTGTAAATAAGCGCTAGCCCTAAATTCTGGGATCTGTGCGCCCCTCCTGGCACTTCTGCTCCCATGAGAACCATTCCACAGTCTGCAGGCTCCTCCCTCATTGTAAGGTCAATTCAGTCCCTCAGGAATGCAGCAAACGTGCAATGCATAGGGCGGCTGCTCAGGGCAAGACGCAGCCAAGGGCAGGACGGAGAGCCCTCAGCGCAGGCTCCAGGTGGCAGCAGCAGAGAAAACACATGACCTCCTCGTCAGGAGTCCCCTCCTCAATATCATCTTTAACAGTTTATAAAACAGCTTTGGCTTTTCCATCTGTCATGAACTCATGCTATCATTCCCCGCATCAGTCTCATTCTGCAAATAATGCTTTCTCCTTCTCCCTGGGAAAGGTCATGCAGCACCTGGGAAGCCTGGCCTGCGAGTTTACTGTTAGGTTAGCCAGGAAAAAATCATTACAACCAGGATTAATTCATTAATTCTGAATAATGACTTTGGAATAGTTTCTTCAAGTGCCCAGTAACAAACAGCTTCAGACAAATGAGAAAATACACGCCATTTTCCCTAATCGCCTGTTTGATCCTGGAGAAGTGACAACAGCAGGGTCACAGGAAAGCAAGGGAGCATCTAGACAACCTGAAGGACCAATCTTCCAAACAACATACAAAGGAACAAAATGGGCCCTGGCCGGCATTGCCCAGGGTTAGAGCATCGGCCTGCACCTCCTGCTGGTCCTCACCTCCCAGATTCCACTGGCTATACTCCCCCTTCTTCCTCTCCCGTCTCACACCCCCCCCCCACCCGCCTCCCCCGCCGCTCCCCCCACCCCGTCAGCTGGGCATCTTACCTCTGCAAACAGAGGAGAAATAATTGTAGATAAACACTGAGAGAAAGGCCTCTTCGGGATGTCTTTCATCTTGGGGAAGAAAGAAAAGCTAATTAGAAATATTTGATATTTACAAAAATTCAATAAACTTCAGACAGGTGCTACCCAAGGATAATGTAATTTATGAAGTGATCCCCCGATAAGTCTAGCACCCATCTGACACCATCCTCAGCAAATACATGAGTGACTATATTCCCTATGTGCTCTCCATCCCCGGGACTATTGGTACTTCCAATCTGTACTTCTTGACCCCTTCACCTTTTCACTCAGTCCTCCAGCCCTCCTTCTATCTGGCAACCTTCAGTTTATTCTATGAGTTTGTTTCTCTGTTGTCCATTTATTTATTTTCAGATTCCACATGTAAGTGAAATCGTATGGTATTTGTCTTTCTCTGACTTATTTCATTTATCATAAATACTCTCTAGGTCCATCCACGTTGTCACAAGTGTAAAATTTCATTCTTTTTTTATGACAGGAATATAGTCCACTGTATATATGTATCACATCTTTATCCATTTATCTACTGATGGGCACTTACGTTGCTTCCATATCTTGCCTCTTGTAAATAACGCTGCAATGAACATAGGAATGCATATATTCTTTCAAATTAGTGTTTTGGATTTCTTCAGATAAACACTCAGAAGTGGAACTGCTAGATCATATGGTAGTTCTATTTATATTTTTTGAGAAACCTCCATACTGTCTTCCACAGTGGCTGCACCAGTCTGCATTCCCACCAACAGTGCACGAGGGTTCCCTTTTCTCCACATCCTCACCAGCACTTGTTGTTTGTTGATTTGTTGAATACAGTCATTTTACAAGTGTGGTATACCACCATGGTTTTAATGACTTTTAATAAAACTTAATCCCAAAATTCTAGTACCTTAAATGAATAACCATATATGCAAAATAGGGACAGTCCTGTCAAGAGAGCTAGCAAGTCATTTCATATGTGAAACCTCACCCACTCCCACACCCCGTAATTCCCACTGTATTTTCAAGTGTCAGGAAATGCTGATCCCACAGAAGGGCAGGCTTACAGAGAGCAGACATCAGCATTATAGGTCTGACTGCGTAATCAGTCAGACAAAATCTCCTGCTCTGACAATTCACTGTCAGCAAAACTCCAAAGCAGGCCACCATGAGGGGCCACCTCATCCTGAGAGAAAGGTGACTGAAATGCCGCTGACTGGTCACAATGTTGGTCCCTCTCATACCAGCAAACATACCTTATTTCTGTCTAAATCCGATGGCTGAAGAGTTCCATTCTCAAGATTCTTTGGATCTTTCTCTCGGATCGTGAAGATCCAGTCGCTAGAATCGCTGCCTCCAGATGCTTGACCATCCGTGTCCGTTTCCCTTAACACAGAAATCCAGGAGGGCCCGTGATGAGCTGCTCTGCGGGGCTAGGACCCCATGGTGGCCTCTCAAACCCCAATTGAGCACTTAGGCTGCCCAGCTTCCCACGCAGGCCTTCTCCGTCTCACCCTCACACCCACACCAACTTCCCCTCTCCCCACCCCCACCAGTGACACTCACTCCCAGGCCCTCTTGCGCTTCACAAGACAAGCCTGCCTCCCAACTCAGAGACCAGAGACCATCAGAGTGTGACCCCCACAACTTCCCACCATGCCTGCTGCAACCACGCCTTCCCGTCCCCCCAGCTCCTCAAATGAAAGCAGCATATCTTCCCCAATAGGACAAACTGAATTTCTTCTGACCCACATCATTCACAGGCTCAGCCTTTATGCTGGCATTTCCTAAGATTTGGTGATGGGCCGCAGGGCCCTTCTCACTCTGCAGATATGCTGGGAAGGACACCATATGTTCTCATGGCTCCAATGACCACGGTGACTCTAAATCTGTACCATCTGCTAAGGCAACTCTCCCAAACTCACCCTCAATGCCACTCTCAACTGGACACACCCTCTCGGACATCCTATCAGCAACTCGAACATGTCCCACACAAACTGGTTTCCTCCCCAGACCAGTCTCTTCTCCAGCATCCCCATCTCAGCGGCACTCGCCACATGCTGAAGCCTGGACTGTCTCCTCCTTTCCCCAAAGCCATGGCCAGCCTCGCCGTTCATTTTTCCATCCCCAGTGCTACCACCCTAATTTCAGTGTCTAGAACTCAACAATTCCTGATCCGTGGTTCTCCTCGTTTTATAATGGAATCGCCTGGTGACCTTGAGTAAACACTTGGTCTCATCCCCAGACATGCGGATTCCTTTCCCCTTTATGTCAAAGTCACGAGCCCAGCTTTCCCCTAAAATGGCCCTCCACTCAATTCATCCTCAGCTAATGGAATTCCTAGGTGCTTGACACCGGTTTTTAGTAGCTTCTTGGTACAGCGCTGTTACAGTGCGAAGCCTCTACCAAAACACAACACAGAATCACAAAAACATACATTCATATCCTCTTAAAATATATATTTAAAGCAGTTTCATCTGATCAGTGTTTTAAGAGCATGAGGTATAACAAAAGAAAAAGAAACCAGGTCAAGTTCCGTTTACGCAGTTTTATCACACAGGCTTTATGCAGAAAAACTCGGTAACATGAGGAGAACCAGCAACCTGGACTGTCTTTAAGAAAAAATAAAAGGAAAGGAACCCAAAGCCCACCCCAAAGAAAAGACTAGAATAAACACAACATTCTCGCAGGCCAGCTGCTCAGGCACAGCGCAGTCAGGGGCACATGCTCTGGCTCGCACACATTCGAACAACTGGGACGACAGAGACTTACGTGTCGGAGTCTTCTGAGCTGGAGTCGTCATGGCTCTGCTCGGCCTTCCACCGCTTGTACCTGTCGATTAGCTCCGTCAAGTAGGATGTTTTCTTCGCATTGCGTATTATAAACTTGTGCTTCAGTAACTCCTTTGCCGTGGGTCTCTGGGAAACAAACCACCAGACAATGCAAACAGAAAAAGCATGAGATGAAGTCCCTGCATTCCACCTGATTCTACCCCAAAGGTCAGACTTTTGCCTCAAAAGGTCAAACAGCCTTGGCTGGTTTGACTCAGGGATTACAGCGTCGGCCCTTTCACCCTAGGGTCATGGGTCCAATTCCCGGTCAAGGGCACATACTTCTCAGTTGTAGGTCCCCTAGCCCCAGTGGAGGCGCCTGTGGGAGGCAACCAATTGATGTTTCTTTCTTTCTTTCTCCCTCTCTCTTCCCATCTCTCCCCCTCCCCACTTCCACTCTCTCTATTAATCAATGGAAAAAATATTCTCAGGTGAGGATTAAAAAAAAAAAGTCACAACCACACTAATACCTAAAGAACAAGTTCTACTTCAAAGGTTTTCCCCCCTAAGACCTAGTCAAAGAATAAGCCATTCAGCACCCGTGGGTGGGACTCTGTGTACAATAGCATTTAGTATCTGATGTTAAATTCTCAGAAAACCACTCAATTTAGGTAGAAAATGCTCCAGAGAATTTCACAGAAATCATCTAAAGGAGCTAGAATATGCCTCCTAGATTCTATAAAACATTTTATTGCAAATGCTGTCAAGAAGAGAAAACATGTTTTGTATTACCTTGTTAACTTACTATATTAATATTTGGCTCCATCCCTCAAAATAAGAAAAATGTTCATTTCATCTAGAAGAAACTACAAAGGAGCCAGGAGATTCCTTTTTCTTGGTTGCTCAAAGAGTACTGAGTTCTCAGTCATCCAGCCCTAACTTAGAAATGCTGGTTTCTCAGGTCTGCCTCTTTCCTTGTGGTCCAATGAGGACTTCGTCCGGCCCTGGGTTCAGGATGGCCACAGCCAGACAGCATGCTTTGACCGTGGCCAACTGCTCTGCCCTTGAGGTTGGCAAAATCAATTACAGGGAACATGCTTCCCAAGGCAGCTGAGTGAGGCCCAAATTGGAGTAGGCAGGGGGAACACACAAACAACATGTCAGACTAAGCTGCCGCTTACTCTGAATTTCTAAAGCTTTATTAACAAGAGGCAGGGACATTTCTCACAGTTAAGCTTGTGAAAAACATGGGCCACCTCAGGTATTTCCCACTCCCTGTCCACAGGACTGTGAAACTCCAAGCATCTCAGAAGTGTTTGCATTCTCAGCTTCTCATCCTTCTCTTGGTCCATCTGGGATCAAGGCCGGGGTGGATATATGTACACCGGCAAGCAAGCCAATACTGGAAGTATGGGTTTTTGTTGTTTTTTAAGATATATTTTTATTGATTTCAGAGAGGAAGGGAGAGGGAGAAATAGAATCATCGATTAGCTGCCTCCTGCACACCCCCTACAGGGGATCGAGCCTGCAACCTGGGCATGTGCCCTGTCCAGGAATCAAACTGTGACCTCCTGGTTCATAGGTCAACGCTCAACCACTGAGGCACACCGGCTGGGCTGGAAGCACGTTTTTAATGGGAAGATGTAGATGTGTGTGGGTGTAACTTCTGGGTGCTGGTGCCTCGTGACTAGGAACTAACAGCATGATGTAAATTTCAGAGCACTGTGGCAATGGAGAACAGCAGCCCCACGCAACCAATGGTTGGTGTACTTTGCAACCCCTTGAGGATCTCAAAATAGGTTGCACTTGCCATTCAATTCCTTTACCAAAACTGGCATAATATTAGAAAACCACTGTGCTCTTGTAAAACTAACCACCCATTTTTAGATAAGAGTTCATGAAAAGAACTCTTATCTAAAAGAACTCTTTCTAGCAGGGACTTCTAACCCTGCTAGAAAATCCATAGATAAAACAAGGATATATGGTGCTATACACAACATCAAAATATACAGATAACTTTCAAAATAATGTCCTAATTCAGAGAGAAAATTAGGCTGAAGCTATGTAGTCGGTACTGCCACATGGCTCTGCCAGAGTCCCTCAAACATAAAGAAGGGGGTAGGGGGGCAAGGTGGGTGGTTCATTTATATTTTATTTGCCTTTCTTTCCTGACACATACCAAGAAGAAACTGAAAACATTTACTTTAAAAATTATTTAGCCATTATTTTCAGGCCAGACTGTGCGATTATTAAAAATAGCTTCATAATTTATAGCCTGACCTACCACTATAAAATGAAAAAGTTATTATTACACATATAATATTAAGGAGAATAGTCTTCAAGCTCAATGAGGTATGAGATGCTAAAAAATAAATTTTATCCTTCAAAGATAAACTAACAATAAAAACATATTTTCAATGCAAAGAAATCAATCATACCCGTGTAGAAAAAGAAAACAAATGAGACTGTGAAGACAGCTGACATTAGTGATAAAAGAAAGTCCAATAAGATGGATTTAGACCAAGTCGGGCCACACATGAAGAGATGTGGGCCATTCTGATCTGAAACTCACAAAGCTCGGCTCCTTATTCAAACAGGCCTCCACAAACTCCTTGAGGGGTTTGCTGTAGTTTCCTTCCAGCGTCGGAGGGTTGTTCTTTGGAATGAGGAATAAAACCTTCATGGGGTGCAGCTCAGAATGAGGTGGTTCCCCTTTTGCAAGCTCTATAGCTGTTATGCCCAGGGACCAGATGTCTGCCTGCAACAAAAAAGGATCTTTAGAGAACCATCAAGCAGGAGTAAATTCAAATAAATATACTTGCGGGATGGGGAGAGACAGAATACATCTCAACGAACTTTTATGGTTTTGAAAACATTATCTTTAACTGAAAATAAGAAAGATAGGCCTTTGGTTTAATTTCAAAATAAGCAACACACAGGAGAAAATAATAGACAAAACAGCTTCTATCTCTGTACTGAAGGTGGCTTTTACAAGTACTCCTCTTCCACTTGCTGTTGGAGGTATAATGCATTCAATGTCAACGGAGGCCCCCCAAGGCAGTCAACAGGAGGTAGTCAGAGGTGAGCAAAGAGGGCAGATGGGGGAGTGAGGTGTGTTTGCCAGTCAGGCAGTGCTCAGGACTAACATAATGCTCCGAGTTAAGTGCTAGCTTTACCAGCAGTCTCATGACCTCAGACAAAGATCTAACCTCTGAGCCTAGTTCCCTCATCTGTAAAACAGGAATAACAACAAATGGCTATGCAAGGTGCCTAACATAGCACTCAGAACTTATGTTCAAACACACAAAGAAGTAGAAAATACTTGTACAATGCACCCCATTTATCTAGCATTTGAATTCAGTAATCATTCACACTTACCATAAGTTTTAGCTATTATTCACCATCGTACATAGCAGATAAAAAAACATCATGACATTTTCCTTGAATACCTCAATTTACCAATTTAAGGGCTTTTTACTACTATCAACATTTACAATTAACAATAACTCCTTATCATATAATAATTCAATATTATGTAATAATTTAGTATCATGTAATAATTTTCTCAACTGCTCAAAAGTCTTTCATGGTTAATTAATTTGAATCAGGATCCAAACAAGGCACGGACGCTACAACTGATTGTTAGGTGGCCTAAGGCTCCTTTAACCTGGAACAGTTCACTCCCTCATCTCCCCAGTGTCACTGACCTGAGGAAGAAATAGGCCCCAATTCTGGATTTGTCTGTTTTCTTCCTGGTGTCATTTAATGTGTTCTACTCCTGGGTTTCCTGTCCAATACCCAGTGGTTCATTAAGTCTGTAGGCTTGGTCAGACTCACTGTTGGGAGGAGTTAGGGGGTGCCAGTGTCCAGATGCCTGATCCTCCTCTTGCCCAGCCCCAGCTTGTGGCCTCGCAGGGGATGGGGGCCAAGCCCCTCCTCTGTACTCAGTCTAGTACAGCTTCTCTGCTCGTCACTGCACTGTAAACCCACCATAACTCCAGGCAATTAAGTGAGAACCTATAAATCTCTCACACTCACCCTACAGCAAGGAGATAGAAAGCCTGAAGCCCCATTCAGGTCATTTTCCACCTTTAACTACCTGGAAAGGATTCATCTGTCATGTTCCCGCAATCCTAGTGAGTATGAGAAACCCTCACTACCATCTCCCTGGCACATATATGCCAGGCCTATCACATACCCTATATTCTCCTGTTCTCAGGGAAGGCAGGAATAAACAAGCTCTAAATTCTTTGTACATTTTACTAAAGATCTAGATGAAACAGTATCAGGAGCAATATGCCTATTTTCCTTCTATCTGCAACCTGCATTCTGCTTTATCTTACCTGTGTATTATTTTTAAAATCAGCAAAATGTGACTTATTCCAGAGTCCCTCTCTCCCAGGAGGAGGAAGATGGGTGCCCCTAGTGAGCACCCATAACTGGAGTGGCAGGAGGACCTGCCTCGTGTGCAGGTACCAGGAGTGAGGGCAGCATGCACGAGCAGAGGAGGCAGTGAGGATGGACAGCACGACTCTCCTGCCACAGAAACCCCTCTACCCAGCAGGTTCCTTCCTAAAGTCTGTATGGTTCCTGTCCGTCTGCTACTCTACCCCCCGCCTCCCCCCCGCCCCCCCCGCCACTGGATTTCACCAGAGCTGCTGCTGTTGGCAAAGCCTGCTACTCAGCCTGCCTCCCACTGAGTGGATGCAGGAACTTTGTCCAGATGACCTCTGACGGGTGTACCTCCAGACCCCTCTGCACCCGGTACCACTAAACCCACTCCGTAGCTAGAAGGCCCCGACCGATGGCACGCCTGCTGGCAGTCTGTCACGATGTGTGGGCACGCATTTCCCTGTGGTCAGAGGGCTTGCTATTGGGTGCCACACCAGACAATACCCAAACAGGCAGCAAGACTTTGAGGACCTGGCACCCACTTCCACCTGCCAGGATGGACCAACGGACGTTAACCAAGGAAACAGCATCCCAGCCCCACCTGTTACACAGCCAAGGTACCAGAGAAGAGCAGGGGCATCACTCACTCGCTCCCCTGGGAGTCGCCAGCAGAGCCTTGTCAAGACAAAGCACATGCCAACCTCCAAGGCAGCCAGCCTAGCCAGGAACTGGAGTGTCACCCAGCCTCTCGGGACCCTTCTCTATACCCTCCTACATCACCAAGTGCCAGGTGTGTGGCTCCCGACATCTCGGCGCCATCCTGACTGGCTTAGTTCAGAGCTCCCTCTCCTGGGACTTCTGTAGGGGACTCCTAAAGTGTCTTCCTGACTGCAGACTCCCTCTGCAGACATCGAACACACTCCTGACTGACTTGGAAACCTCGACTGGCACTCGAATAAACGGCAAGCAATTTGGCATCATGTATCAAAAGCCATAAAAACATCCAAACTTGTTAAAACCAATTAATTCCACTTCTAGGAATCTATCCTAAATAAATACATTTTAGATTTAGAAAATGGCATATGCTGCCAAAAATACTCAATGGCAGTTTTACTTACACTAAGCCTTAAGAATGACTAAGCTGATGTGGCACATAACTTACTGAAGTACCAAGCACTCGACAACAATGGCACCGATCCAGAATCATACATGCAACTGAGTTTGTCTTATGACTGTACCTCGGAAATATGGCATCAGATGCAGAACATGTGTCTGCGTTTTAAAGTATGTTATGTGGGGGAAGGACAGACATTTCCAAAGCAATTAAAGTTCAAGTATAAGAAGAGACTCGTTATCCAAAGAAACCAGAAACAGCCATCAGAAAGGATATATGCACCCCTATGTTCATAGCAGCACAATTTACCATAGCTAAGATTTGGAAACAGCCTAAGTGCCCATCAGCAGATGAGTGGATTAAAAAATTATGGTACATCTACACAATGGAATACTATGCTGCTGTAAAAAGGAAGGAACTCCTACCATTCACAACAGCATGGATGGACCTGGAGACCATTATGCTAAGTGAAATAAGCCAGTTGGAGAAAGATAAATATCACATGATCTCACTCATTTGTGGAATATAATGAACAACTTAACCTGATGAACAAAAACAGATCCAGAGATAGAGAAGCATCGATCAGACCATCAAAGCTCAGAGGGAAGGCAGGGGAGGATGGGGAGAAAGGGGAGAGATCAACCAAAGGACTTGTATGCATGCATATAGGCCTAACCAATGGGCACAGACACTAGGGGGGGTGAGGGCATGAGTGGGGAGGTGGGGGGGCAATGGGGAGATAAAGACACATATGTAGTACCTTAATCAATAAAGAAAATAAATCAATTTTTAAAAAAGAAAACAAACAGGATTTTCAATATGAGTTCAAGTCAAAAGCTGTGAGGGGCTAGTGCTTTGCACTGTAGACATTTGTGAACAGATGTTTTCCTATGTGAACGGTTCTAGGTGGCACAATCCTAAGTGACAACACAGAGTAACTGTTGCTGATGACCAAGGATTCTTCCTCAATGGGGCTGCAGGTTGAGTGGGTACCAATACCCAACATTCTAAATCCCTGCAATACCAATCACTGCAATCTTTAAGTAGAAGTAAGCTGGCTACAAATCTGCGGACAATGCAATTTGAGTAGCATAAAAAATAGTGCATACAAAATATTCTAGAAGGAACCACAGTCACCTCTATAATCAAGAGGAAGAGGGGGAAACCCTGGAAAACCCAATCACAGTTATAACCAGTCAAAAAATAGATCAAAAATGGATTTAATATAAATGATTTACTTAATTCGATGCAATACTTAGGTACACTTTTATAAGCAGCATCTAGAGGTATAAAGATCACTTGTACTATACAGCAATTATATGATTGGTCCAAAAAGGCGCCATCGTGACTACATGCTAAAATAAAGCCCATCCTTCCCCCACCTCCAGGGCTCCTTACAGCAGGGTCTGTGGGCAAATCCTGATCCTGCACAGGGCCGGGGAGGCCGGTGCTCAGCATCAGGTCGGGGAGGGCCAGTCCTGCACTGCAGTGGACGGGCCACCTGCACACTCCAGCAACCACTGTGTTTTCACTCATCTTTAACCATTTTATTTTTCCCTTCAATACATCACTCATTTCCACTTTTCACCATGGTCAGACTGCCAACGGTTATTTCAGAGATGACTGGATACCAAAATGATGTAGCTTGTGCTTGGGTGGTAGGGCTACAGATGGTTCTCTTTTCATCTCATCCCCCCCCCCCCCCATATTTTCCAGATTAAATCGTACATACTGCTTTTGAGACCAAAATGGGAAGAGTTACTTGCAGGAGAATACTGACACTGGCCTCTCAGTGTCTACAGGATGTTGTTTCACTTAACAGGAAAGTCACATTCTCTGGCCTCATCCCCTAGCAAATTCTTCACCACAATGTACAATCCAAATATGAATGTCCTGCCTTTCCTACATGGACTTGGGCCAAACGCCCTTCCCTTATCTTTGAGGGGCTGAAAAGCCCTATGTCTGACTCCTTGCTCAGCTCATTCTGATGTCCCTCACTCAGCCCCCCTGCACTCCCGCTTACCTGTTTGAGCACCTGACACCCAGTACTGCCATTACTCACTGAAGAAGTAAATTATTTAGCACAGCACACAGCACTGGGTACAACTACAGTGAAGATCGAATGAATGAGTACAGAGAAAAGGACATGAAACAGCCAACGTTTTTACCCAAGTCCAATCCATTTCCTTACACACTGTCGTAATAACCTTACAAAGGAAGGGGGCGGGGAGTGAAAGTTCTGCAGCCCAAGACCCTGCTCTAGCAAGGAAAGCAAAAGCTTCCTTGTCAGAGAGCAGTTTTCTGCCTTAGCACCATCTTCAAAGTCTGAGGTCTTCTTAAACAAACTAAGCTGCCCTAAGTCCCCTTCATAATAACAGTAACAGTTATGATGAAGGTTCTTCAGACATACGGGCTCTCATGACTTAGTAATGCTGAGCTCAGGTTAAGAACTGAGGTCGACAGTAAGATGCGCTGCATGTGCAATCTCAGACAGAACACCTAAGCAGCCCAGACAAGTGACAAAGGGTCAAAGATACTGGTTTCAGAACTGGTTGTGTTAAATAAATAAGCTTGTAGATATACACGTAAAACTAAGCCTTGGTCCTCTTTTTGTTTGGTGAGATGAAGATGCTAGTGAGGCAGATAAATCCCTTTCTCTTCCCAGCCTGACCCTCCTTTGTGAATCAGTGTGTGTACCCAGATGGAACGGCCTGCATCTCTTCATGTGTTGCCTGACTTTGTCTAGATCCATCTTATTGGAATTTCAATGAGTTCAAGTCAAAAGCTATGGAAGCTAGTGCTTTGCACTGCAGACATTTGTGAACAGATGTTTTCTTATATGGATGGTTCTAGGTGGCACGACCCTAAGTGACAAAACAGAGTAACTGTTACTGATGGCCAAGGACTCTTTCTCAATGGGGCTGAGTGCCGTGCTTTCATGATGATGTGACAGAACCTGCTACTCTGAAGCTGTTAAGCTCTTTACCTGTAACACAGAGACCAGTAGGGAAAACATCCACAAGGAAGAATGGGAGGGAGAACTGGAAAGAAGCTGAGTTCAGTTTGTGTTTTCAGGAGAGCCGGGTGGCCACCATGGCTACAGTGCCCTTCTAAACATAAACAGCCGTCAGGCAGGCCTCGGTGAGGGTGGCAGTCACTGGAAGGGTATTTCACAAAGCAACTCCGAAAAGGTCCTTTGTCAAGCACTGTTCTTAACAAGAGCTGCTAGCCCGGAGTCACAACTAATGAGAGTGTGTGTGACATAATCCCCAAGGGCCCAGCCTCTGGAACCCCACTTCTGATAAGCCCCAAAACTCAGGCATAGACATCAGCCTTATCTGCAATTTCCACACCTCCTGGGTCAACAAACCTGGGAAGCAAATTTCACATAAACATATTTTCACACATGGTTCCCAGTAAAGAGTCAACAGAAAATTTTTTTAAGATGTTTTAAAAAATAGTCACTGGGTATGATCCAAGCCAGTGGTCGGCAAACTGCGGCTCGTGAGCCACATGCAGCTCTTTGGCCCCTTGAGTGTGGCTCTTCCACAAAATACCACATGTGGGAGCGCACGTACAGTGCGATTGAAACTTCGTGGGCCATGCGCAGAAGTCGGTATTTTGTGGAAGAACCACACTCAAGGGGCCAAAGAGACACATGTGGCTCACGAGCCTCAGTTTGCCAACCACTAATCCAAGCAAATGAAAGATTTAGCTTTTAACATAAGTCAGAGGAAAAGGTAATTAAAGGTCAGTGACAGTTTCTTGAGCTCCCAAACCAAGTGTGCATTTCCTGTGAATTTGCACCTTTTATCTACCTAAAAAGAATAGTGCAACTTCTACTGATGGGATAAGAGCATTTGATCTTGACAAGAACGCCAGGAAAAAGGGTGGCAAAGCTCTACAGTGAAATCTCCATGCTCAGAGGCTGGCTTTGGCAACAAACGCCCAGAGACCCCGCACTAGGGAGAAAGACGGGAGGGAGAAGGTCTCAGGCAGCTTTTTCCTTTCTCCCTCACTCTTTTCCTTTCTCCCTCTCCCTCTTTCTTTCTCCTTCTAAAATCAATAAGCATGTCTTTGGGTGAGCATTAAAAAAAAGAGAGGTTGGAAAAAGGGAATTATAATTCTGCCTCATGTTGGTTAGGAGCCTGTGAGAGTGACAATCCTAACTGGGTATTAGAACTAATGACAAGAAGGTTCTGTAGCAACCTCTAAAAGCATTATTCCATTTCTGTTTCTCTTGTGGGATCCTTTCTGTCCTTGCCCGGAGCCAGTCCATCCTTGCTGTTTCAAAGGACCTGGCATATATGGCATACTGTTCTTAATATGTTTGCTCACCTTCTTGGCACTATGTGTTTTAACCAAGGTCTCCTCTCTGAGAAAGGTTGCTTCCCCAGGTAGGGATTTTCCCCTGAAGTTAGGGAGGGAATAAAATCCCTCAACTAAGTGCCAGGCGGGTAATTAATCACTTTAACTACGAACAATCATGCTTAAGCTACATAATCTTTACTCCCTGGAATGGAGATAAGAAACGCCCTAACCTTTGTAATAGAGATTGATAGGATTGAATCAACTGGTATAAATACAGATGTAACAAGACAGCAAGACACAGAACTTAGAACACAGAACTAAGAAGACAGAACCTACACACAGAACTTAGAAGACAGAACTTAGAAGACAGAACCTACACAGAACCTAGAGACAGAAGAACTTCGCTGGAGAGAACATGGCAAAAGATCCTGGACTGAACCTGACTACAGAAATTGGCAAGAGAACCTGACTAGAACCTGGTGACTGAACCTGGCTGGAGAACCTGGACAGAACCTGGCTGGAGAACCTAGCAAGAGAACATGGACACAGAACCTGGCTGGAGATCCTGAACAGAACTTCGCTGGAGATCCAGACCAGAACTTGGCTGGAGATCCTGGCTAGAGATCCTGGCTAGGCTGCTGATCAACTGAACGCTGTCTCCGTGTCCTTCCTTCTTCGCCGACTCCGTCTACGCCTTTGGGAACCCCTGGACCTGCTGGGGTTGGACCCCGGCATGTCCTTGTCCCTTAAATATCATTCAGAGTTCTGTCCACAGCCCTCTTCCTTCACCCACTCCACTCAGGCCTCAACTATCACCCATACACAAACAGCACCCAAGCCCTCTCTGTGGACCCACACCCCACATGTTGCTCCACTGGGCGCCTTTACCGTGGCCACCACCTTGATCCTCTGTCCCTCCACACCCACCTTCAAACATTCTTTTCTCGGTGCTCCCCACCACCACCACCACCAAGCAGACATTACGCTAAAAACCTCAGACTGTGGACTGGATAAACAAAGGGCATTGCAGGAGACAGAGAAGAAACCTGTTTATGACCAGGGTCCACGAACGACCTTTCTGATGTACTTCAAGGTGCCAGTCTCCACTCTCCCTGGAAGAGCTGTAAGGTGAAAATACAAGAGGAGGAACTCTCCAGACCCAGGGATGGTGAAGCGTCGGCTGTTACCTTTGAGTCGTAGGCCGACTGTTTGATGACTTCAGGTGCCATCCAGAAAGGGGTGCCCACGAAGGTATTTCTCTTTATCTGGGTATCTGTCAGCTGGCCTGCCACTCCAAAATCAGCCAGCTTCACCTCTCCATGTTCAGAGAGCAGAACATTGGCAGCTGCAAAATAAAACCAAGATGCCTCTTGATATTATTGCTGTATTGTCCCGTCCATGATCATTCTGGGAATGTTTCAGTCCTCTCCTCAGCGAGATCATGTGCTCAAAAAGAACAGGCAACAAGGCTATGCTTCTGAGCAGACAGCCTCACACCCACCCAGGCTGGCTGCAGGGACACTAAGAAACACACAGACAGCCCTCACACCCACCCAGGCATGCTGCAGGGACACTGAGAAACACACGGACAGCCCCGCTGGAGAAGAAAAGCACAGCTTTCCTCTGCAGCACGGTCTGATCCACCTGAGGTTTTCAAAGCAATAAAAACAAGATGCTTTCTTACCTTTAATGTCTCTATGAATTTTCTTCTCCGAATGCAAATAATCAAGTCCTTTTAGTATTTCTCTTAATATAGTAGCAATCTGAGTTTCATCTAAAGGCCCAGGTTCTAACTAACAAAACAAAAAAAAAGTGTTAAAGTTACTTACATGATTCTAAGACATTTGAAATTATAAAACAGTCAATACCCATGTTAAATGGACAATAATGAAAATCTACTTCAAAACAGGCATTTTGTCCAGACGATTAAAACCTACTTACAGGGCCCCAAAACAACAATAAAACAGAGAAAATTACTTTGCTGAGTGAAGCAAAGCTGGCTAAGAACTAAAGTAGGGTAGGGCCAGTGAGAAAGTCCATGGTCAGCCCCACTGTGTTGGGCCATAAGGGATTTTAGTCCAGAAAGCAAAAGCCCAGAGACTCCCAGTACCTGCTGGGTAGGGTATGAAGCAGGTGGCTCTGCCTTACGTGTGTAATGGCAATCAAAACACAGTCATCCAAAGGGAATAGGAGCCCACTGCTTTCTGAGAATGCCCCTGCTCCACAATTTTTTAAACCTAAAATTTAAAGCTTGGGGGAACACAGCTAAAAGAACTCAATTCCCAACGACTGGGATTTTCTGTTAAAATATATATATGTGTGTGTGTGTGTGTGTGTGTGTGTGTGTGTGTGTGTGTATATATAATGTAATAAAAATAATAATCCAAAATTAGGTAATAATTACCTCTGAAAACTTTTATTCTAAGAAACTCAAAGCAATTTATAGTCACTCCTTGATAATGACAAATTGTATAAAGTGTAAGGAAGAAATGTCAACTACATATATGCCCTTTTTAAAAGGGAAAAAAAAAAATGGGTTCTAAAGCTCAATTCACATTGGGTAGATCCACCATCACTTGCAGAATAGGAATTCAACCACAACTAAATAATTACATAAATTACTTCAGCAAAACAACCGAACACCCCCGAAAGAACTGGTCACGGACCTGTCAGATGGGGGCGGGGGGCAGAATTCTAATAGCATATCAATTTTTCATCTGAACAATAGTTCTCAGAATTACGTCTTCAGACTTGACAGTGAATGCATCGTAACCCAAACCCACACATCTTAGCCCATACAATCCTGTGACATCACCAAGTACGCTTTAAAAAGACAGATGCTTTAAAGCCGAGGAATAAAAACTAAGACCCGCCTCGTAAGGTCGAGCTCTGCCTGACGAGCACACTCTCAGGCAGGCAGTCCTTGGTGTGTGTCAGGGCCGTGGCTGGGAAGGTGGAGGCGGGCGGGGAAGCTGGGACCCCTTCCTGCTTCACGACAGCCGCGCTCCTGCCTGGAACCGGCTCTGGCTCACCTAGCGAGCTGGGCCGCCTCTGCTCATTGGCCCAACCTGGTCTACACAAAACCGCACAGGGTCCGGGTGAAGGAGGGAGGTTCTCCTCCTGCCTGTTGGCTCCCTAGGATCCTGGCGGTCGGGCAGCAGGGCACACCTGTGATGGAGCAGCTCCTCGGTGCCTCACCTCAGCACACAAGGGTGAGACAACATGCTGCTCACTGTAGTTTTACTCGGTATTATGTGCTCAGGGAAAGTCACAACTAGCCTGCAAGGAAGTATCCCAAATTCTAATCGAGACACTATCCAAGTTACCTCCAACTGAGGCAACAGGTCACACACTTTGTTCCACAGAACCTAACTGTTCCCAGTTATCTGACCCCAAGAGTCTTATTTTCAAGAAACACACATTGAGACTACTGTTCGAAAGACACAACCTGGAAACCCTGCCTGTCTGCCTTCTCCACATCTACTTTTGAGTGTTCATAGAAAATACAAGTTTCAGCACTCAAAATGAGGGAAAGCCACTTCTCTCATAACCTAGGGCAGTGGTCGGCAAACTGCGGCTCGCAAGCCACATGTGGCTCTTTGGCCCCTTGAGTGTGGCTCTTCCACAAAATACCACATGCGGGCGCGCATGTACAGTGCAACTGAAACTTCGTGGCTCATGCGCAGAAGTCAGTATTTTGTGGAAAAGCCACACTCAAGGGGCCAAAAGCCACATGTGGCTCGCGACCCGCAGTTTGCCAACCGCTGACCTAGGGGAAAGAGAAGGGCAGAGATGCTAGCATATTTGCTCTTATTCACACCACCAGAACGCAGTTGTTCAAAGTCGTATCACAGAGTACAAGCCCACATCCTCCCACGCAGACCACCAGCAACATGGGGCTAGGCTTGGGCTTAACTTCAATCTCCCTTCTATTATTACCCAGTCTCTGGAAAGAAACAGCAGAGCAGCCTGGTGTCATCAGCTAGGAGAGATAAGAAGAGCTCAGAAAAACTAATAGAAAAATCTCTTCCTGGATCACTGAGAACTGGCCCTTTTAAATCTGGCCTACACACCACCCACCAATGATTTATTCTTTATTGGGGGGGGGGGGCGCGGGGGGAGGAGTAAAGTGGATGTCCTTGGTGTCAAAACTCGCTATAAGCGGTATTCAGTTGCTCTCTACATGACAGAAATCCTCACTAGTGGTAAGGCCAGGCTGAGCTAAGTTCTCAGAGTCATATATTAGCACTTTCCACCATTACTCTTTTTTTTTTTTAAATATATTTTATTGATTTTTACAGAGAGGAAGGGAGAGGGATAGAGAGTTAGAAACATCGATGAGAGAGAAACATCGATCAGCTGCCTCCTGCACACCCCCTACTGGGGATGTGCCCACAACCAAGGTACATGCCCTTGACCGGAATCGAACCTGGGACCCTTCAGTCTGCAGGCCGATGCTCTATTTACAGAGCCAAACCGGTTAGGGCTCCACCATTACTATTTCTAGGCATTATAAACATGGCAGTCTCTATAATCGAGAGCACCGTGGAATTTTCAAATAATTGTTATAAAAGAAAGACTACCAGCTGCATCTCACCTTTGGGTGACTCTAATTCCCTCCCCCCAAGTCTGTTCTCTCAGCCTTCCTCTGCAGCAGATACCATTAACCAGGAACGTGGCCACCCAACAAGAGGCCATACCTGCCCACCTCCGCAGCAGCAGGTACAGCCACATGAGTAAGTTCTCCCCAGTGGAACATGAGAAGTGACACATGCCCCTTTCCTGGCCTTGGCCTTAGAACACTGGCAGCCAGAAAGCACAACTGAAGACCAGGGAACACCATGGAATACAGATGGTAGGACCATCCACTAGTGCAGGACCCTGGTGACCCTGTGGGCTAGAGCCCACTGACCCCAACACGTGGGAGAGAAATAAATTTCTATCTTGTGTGAGACACTGGGGACCTACAACAGCCATCTCATTTTTTAAAAACATGTTGCAGATACATGTTCAAGTTTGCCAAACATCTCTACATGGTATCAGATTTTTATATGTATTTAGTGCCTGGTTTTTAAAATCTGTTATAAACATAAGACCCTCTCAAAATAATACTAATAGTTTTCAATATGTAAAAGATAATTCTTGTAAAAGTGTGTCTTCTCAGAAAGTGGGGGCAGAGATAAGAAGTGGAGAAAGATAAAACAAGGTCAGAGGGAGGGAAAGGACAGCATGGGATCAGGGCAGGCCATAGACTTCGCGCCTGGTCACAAGGAGGTCCAAAGTGCAGCTCTGTTTGTGAGCTGGGACACCTAACCTGAGTGTCCTGTTTCCTCATCAGTGAAAACGAGATGATTAGGGACATCCAAAAAGGATGCCTAGTTCTTGTCACCAGGGCCATTGAGTGCAAAGTAGATGGCAATTTGCTGGGGCTCTCATACTCCTCAAGACTTTTTCTCAAATGAAGAGTTCTATATTTCTTCCAACTGTTATGTCTAAAATTTCACAGACTTCAAGTCAAAGGTCCAAAGAAAGTTACCACTAAATAAGTAAATAACTGTGGCATTAATAATGAATAAATTATAGCATTTAGAGACTAGAATTGCTGCCCTGAAAAACTTGAGGTCAGACAAGAATCCCCACAAACAACTTTTTATATGCCACAAATGAAATTCACTTAATATAATACAAAATCTAATTAAACAAAATGAGATAATTTTCTGCAGTCCTTAAGTATTTCCCAAAAGAGTAAAAAAAAAAAATCAAATTCTTTGTGTGTGTACATTTATGGAAAAGCAGTGAAGCAAGTCATAAAATTTATCCAGCTGTTTTGTCACTGTTCCCATTTTAATGTAATGGTTCATACCATATTTAATATTTTTTCTTGAAATTTCCTTTGAACATCATTTGGACCAACTGCTTTTATGGCTTATAATGTTATAGGATTTTTTTTAAATTGGGTACATAAGCTTTTTAGAAGTTTACAGTTTTAGAGTTTTATCTTCCCCTGAAAAACTACGAATTGCTACTATTATTGTGAGGAAGCAAGCTCCTTTTAATCTCTGACATCTTTCCTTAGTGAATAAACCTCCATAGACTGTAACCACTAACACAGGGCCTCCTGCCGCTCTCGCGCTGAGCAGTGAGTGATGCAGACCATCACCTGACAACTTCCCATCAGGCGGGGCCGGCCCTCCAACGCCAAAATGATAGGTTAGGCCTGTCCTGGAAATCACCACTCACCCAAAGGCCAGCTTTGGTAGGGCAGGTAGGAAAGAGGGCTGATTACATTAATTTCGCTGCATAGCCACAGGGGGGAAAGATGTCAAGAGCTAAACTACTGTGTGCAGTCTTTTAAGAACTGATTTTGCATATGCTGTGCCTCGAGGAATACTTAAATAATGCCTATGATTCACTGGCGCATCTTGCCAGAGGCCAACATGTAAACTGTGTTTTACCATGAGAAGCAAGTGCCAGCCTGTGACTCTGAGGTCATTCTATACCTAACTCCCTCTATCTTGTGTGGGAGACAGTGGCGCACAGTAATGGCACAGTAGGTCCAGGCCAGGCAGCAGCTGGGAACGGGTGCCGGCCCGGCTCCTTCGAAGCCCCACTGCATACCCTGCCCCCTGCTCTGGTATGAGCAGCGTGCTGCAGGCCTCACACCCTGCCTGGGTCTTACTCTGAAAACAGTTTAATTTGTTAAAATCCTAATTCTAACTAATTATAAATTAAAATATCGCCCACATATTTTGGAAGCTACGTTACTATCTGAAATTTAAAACAATGATAGGGTATTAGCTCTACAAAGGTTAAAACCAGTTTTGGAAAACTAGCAAACTGCTCTTCGGTAAGATAGTGACAGGCAAAATCCTTCTTGGCTTTTATGAATAAATTCATGGGTTTTCCCAAGAAACAAAACTGGTTTCAAAAGTAGACCTGTAATTGTCAGTAATATATCAGAAGCAGAAATACATATTATAAGGAAGAGTTTGGCCCATTTTTCATAGAACTTAAAATAGAGAAACGGAAATGTATAAACATAGAATTACTTTCAAAACTAAGAAGAACCATAATACGCAGGCTTCCGACATAATACTTACTAGATCTAGTGCGGAGCCTCCACCAAGATATTCCATTATTATCCACAATTTAGTATCCTACAAAAACAAAAAAGAGAGAAATTACTTTAAAAATGAGCAAAGCCAGAAAAAAAAATAAGCTATAGGGGTTTTTTTTGTTATTTTGAAACCATAAAATTTAATAAATACATATATACCATCAAGGAAAATGTGCCCAGTAAGCCGTGGGCAAGAGGCCTGCTGTGTCAGAGGGGCTGCCATGTCTGGCCAGGCCCTGTACAAGACTCTTCCAGGCAGGTGACCAGACCTTCTGGACCAGCCATCTCTTAAGATGGGACAAGACAGGACCACAGGGGGCTCCACTCGTAAACAACCTCAGGCCATGACCCACAAGCACAGTAGGGTTTGAGATCCAGTCCCCGAAGTCGTTCAGTCCAGCAGCAGTCACATAGTCTCCCGCTGGGTGTCAGCCAGAGCCCGGAGCACACAGTCCTAGGAGCAGGTCACTTCCTTTTCTGTGGCCTGCAGCTGTGATGCAGGGACTGACCCTCGTCCTTGTGAGTACAGGGAAAGGCAATGCTCCGAAGATGGGGTGGTGGGCTGGCCAGCTAGCCTGAGCTTCGCAGAGGGCAGCCCATTTCAGACTCCCCGAGGCTGCTGTGCTCTCTCAGGGAGCTCCAGGAAAGGAGGCCTCTGCTGAACTAAGTCTGTGTCTGTGTCCACTAGCTCCACGCACCAGCGGGGTGAGGTGCCATTTGTGACTCTGTCTTTCCCTTTCCTCTCTCCTGAAACCATGCAGCTCCCATGACCTCCAGGATTCTCTTTTGAAAACATAAATCCCAAACTGCTTCTCTCTTGAAAGCAAGCAAGCAAATATCTGCACTGTTGTTCCCGTGCGGTGGTCAGGAAGACTCGGGCTTGGGAATGAGCCAGACCAGGGTTGGGATCCTGACCACTCCTTACAGCAGCCGTGGGCAAACTACGGCCCGCAGGCCGGATTCGGCCCGTTTGAAATGAATAAAACTAAAAATAAAAAAAAGACCGTACCCTTTTAAGTAATGATGTTTACTTTGAATTTATATTAGTTCACACAAACACTCCATCCATGCTTTTGTTCCGGCCCTCCGGTCCAGTTTAAGAACCCATTGTGGCCCTCGAGTCAAAAGTTTGCCCAACCCTGTCTTACAGCGTAAGGGGCCTGGGAAGGTATTTCCTCTCTAAGCTTCTGACCCAGGCCCAGCTAAGTGCCAGAACAGAACAGCTGGTGAGATGAATAAGCCGTAACAACACTGGTGGCAGGTAACCCTTCACTGATACTGTGGTGGCTGACCCATCGAGCACTGGTGGTGTTCTGGCCTACTGCCTGGGAGCCATGTCCATGGGTATGCTTATATCAGCAAGATTCACTGCTGACTCAGTGTTTTATGGTAGCTTTCATGTGCATCAAAACAGGGTAAAAAAACAAAACCTTTCCCAAGGCTCTTTAGTACCTTCAGGACAGAACTGTGCCTCTGCCCTTCAGATCATCCCCAAGAAGGCCCCTCTGCCAGGTGCCATGGACTCCTGGTTCTAGTGAAAGGACTCTGGCTTCTTAGACCATTTCACCTCAGCAGTTCCCTGTCAGGAAAACCCTCAAACCGGCCTCATATGCTGAATAGACTTTTGCTTTAGCACCTACTGGTCTGATTTCCATTTTAGATTTACTTGTCTAAGTGCCAGGGGACCGTGCCAAGCACGCTCGAGCTCAGGAAGGCTACCTGTGGTGCTCTGCAGCCAAGGAAGGGTCAATCACACTGACTGCACTCACTCAGGGAGGCACTGATGCTTGCTCTGCACTTGCAAAAAAATCCCTTCTAAAATTTAAAACAAACCGTGACATCCGAAGTCAATTCTATAATATTCTAAATAGACAATCGAAGTTTGACTGTATATAGAACACTTACAAGCTTTTAAATGGCCTTGACTACTAATATGATGAAGACAATTTAGGTCTAGATTGCAAAAGGCACAGAAAGAAGCCTTAATGTTGTGTTTGGAATCCACCTTATACATACAAAGATCTCACTTAACAACCACTCATCCAGTCAAGGGCACTTGCCTTGAACAGGCTCAATCACCTGCTGGTCCTGACTTAAAAAGAACTTCCTATCAGAAAGAGTGATCTCCAACCTTCCTCTCTGTTCACAAATATGCCCAATGGCAGATTTCTCTAACACTTGCTACTAGAGAATGTTGTGTTGCTCCTTCCAAGCATTCCAAAAGCATCCTGTCTGGTAGCTAGAAATAAACTATTCCAGGGAACGCCCAATACCATTTTTGATGACATGGGAAATTTAAATTGTTTTCCTATAAGGGAACTTGGATTTCTACTCTCATTCCCCTTTTTTACGGGGCTGTTTGACCCAGCTCCCATCTCTTTTATTATTTTATGGGCACCAAGGGCAAGTTTACAAGAGCAAGATAAACTCTCAGCAGGTCTGTAATCTCTCCTCACCTCACTCCCCACTGCAGGGAGCTGTGCAATAGGACACGCTGGGAACAGCCTTTGCTGACTCTGGAGATTCCAGTGTCACCACACTGCTTCCTGGAACAACAAGACACAAGTGACCACACCTTGTCTGCCATTCCAAAGTTCCATCCTGGGTTAGCCTAGCAAGTAACTAACTACCAAGGAAACAAAACAACCCTTTAAAGTACTATTTCTTCCTTTCAGAGATAAGTGACCCATTTCCAGTGTTGTCCTAATACCACAGGGGGCATTAGAGCAATAGCAGGGCACTGGCAAACCACTGCTCTCCAGCTAAAAGGCTAAAGCCCCACCCTTTCATTGTAGAGACCCGCCTTTCTGGAGAGGAAGATGCAGTAAAAAGACCAGCCGGTTTCTATTTTCATCCAGCTGCTTCCTGGTACCAGACATGCTGGGGTATGAATGCTATTATGTAAACATGAAGTCCACCAGATTCAAGGCACTTAGGAAAACAGCAGCAGGTCCTTTTTTCAGGCCACTGCATTTTAAGTACCTTAGCTAGGTCCTATGACTAATGTGTTTTTGTCCCCAATTCCATCAGCACCACTAATCCACTAATTGGGGAATAAAATGGAAACTGCATCTCGAAAGGCTCCAGTGGCCACCGCCTTGCCTAGACTTGCTTTCTGAACTTACTGGGTGTGTCGCTCACTCTTGCCATGGAGAGCCAGCCAGTCCCCACTCACTCATGGCTGAGATGCCACTGGGCAGCTTTTCCCAAGGGCCAGCACCAGGAGGCAGCAGTAAGCAGGGTGAGTACCTGCCTTCCGCACAGGGAGCTTGCCTTCTAGAGCTGAAGACAACCTTCAACAATGCTTGACTAACTATAACTCACAAGTGGGTGCCATGAGAGTGTATAGCAGGGACCTGCCAGCTCACGTCAGAACCTGAATGATGACTGGGCTATGGGGTCAGGGGAGAAGTGGAGGGAGGGGACCAGGGGGAGAAACGCAGGTCAGCATCCAGGTGGCAGGAGTGAAGCTGCAAAGCAGGTAAGAGGCAGCATCAAAGAACTAATGGAAAGAGGGCACAAGGAAGGCGGGTGGAGAGTGACAGAGAAAGGCCAATCTTGTAGTAGCTGGGGGTAAACATGTCAGACTTTCTCCTAAGTCACTGAAGGGTACCAAAGCAATGCTCGTTTGGCAAGCACTCAATGTGTGTGGAGAAGGGGCTGGAAATAGTTAAAGGCTCATGTATGGTCTGGGGAGAGGTGAAGGCAAAGGTGAGTGTGACATCATCTGGAGAGGCTTGGGAGGCAGAAATGACAGGACTAGGTGGTGCACAAGGAGGTCAAAGTGACTTCGGCTTTGGCCTCACTTGAATGAACACCTTGCAGTGCCATCTACTGACAGGAAGCCCAGGGGAAGGAGGTACGGGGTACAATTCGAGCGGTTTGACATAAAGGTGTCCACCCAACATTATAGTGAGTCAGTCTCTTCTATCTTTAGAAACAACAACAAACTCCTGATTTAAAAACATCTGAGAGCTTCTACCAAATTCTATCATGACTTCCAAACTCTGGCTTGGTGAACTAGTGCCCTTCACAAGCTGTACCCTCTGTCTCCCCACCTCACTTCCACATGCTCTACTCCACACCCCCAGAACGCACCCCAGTCCAACCCCTACAGGTTTCTGCACAGGAGCTCTCTCTGCTGGACTCCCTGCATGTCCAGCTCACAGGGCAGCTCTATGAGGAGACTGATTCAGGGTACCATCGCCCTCCTTCATTCTCCACACCCAAGCACTGTCCTCACCTTCCTCTCGCCTCAGAGAGAGGGTCATCTCACCCTCCACCCAGGAATGGCTTGCAGCGACATCAGCGTTTCTCATCCTTGACCTGACACGTGGGGAACAATTCTCTCTGTGGGCACTGCCTGGTGCCTATAGAGTCTAGCAGCATCCCTGGCTCTCTACCCACTAGGTGCCAGTACCACGGCTCCAGTTCTGTTGACCAAAAGGTTCTCAGACACTTCTGATGGCCTCAAAGAGCCAAAATCACCCTCATTGCAAGCCACTGCACTGTATGATCAAGTGCTACTGTACCAGAAGCACTGGTGAATTAATTCCCTCCTCATTCCAGCCAAGTCAGTTTTGCATATAGGAACCCTGAAACCTCCAGCTAGAAGACTGTCACTTACTTACCATGAGACACCCAAGCTTTGAATTCCTCAGCCCTAAAAAAAATGGTAATAATCTCCATGTTTCTAAACCTCACAGTTCAATTGACAATAAAATGAGATAATGAATGTGAAATCACTCTGCAAAGTTCGAAGTACTAAACACATGCAAAGTGCTATTAGCTTATCAACATCATCACCCATAAATGCCTTAAAATAACCTGCAGAAACCGAATCAGCCCAATTAACAAGACCAAATAGTATTTCTCTGCATGGGAGTGTCTGAGGAAAATAAAATCTGGAACAGTGATTCATACCCATTCTATACTGGAATTAAAAAAGAATTACTGCTCTCCCAGCCTTCAGGTAAGAGTGTCTGAAAAGGATAGTCTGGTCAAAGAGACACTTGGCCTGTTCTCAGTGACCAGATGAGC